CTTCTCTCTCTTCTCTCTTTCTGTCTGTGCGTGTGTCTGTGTGTGTAAACACTCATGTGTACACACACACACACCATGTACACACAAGCAGGCGATGTTGGGGTAACAAGAAAACACACAAACACACACACACACACACACAGGACTGTTGGGGCACATGGTAGTGTTGGGGTAACGTGAAACACACGCAACCACAGTCCTGATTGGGCACATGATGGGGTTGGGGTAACATGAAAACATGCACACACACAGCCACAGAACTATTCGGGTATATGCTGGTGTTGGGGTAACATACGACACAGAGACACACAGACAGACAGAGGCAGAGACAGAGAGACACACACTCACACACACACACACACATACACACACACACACACACACACACACAGAATCACACAGAATCACACAGAGTCACACAGAGTCACACACAGTCACACAGAGGCACACACAGAGGCACACACAGAGGCACACACAGAGGCACACACAGAGGCACACACAGAGGCACACACAGAGGCACACACAGAGGCACACACAGAGGCACACACAGAGGCACACACAGAGGCACACACAGAGGCACACATACACAAACACAGACACACACTGTCAAACACACACAAAGACAGACACACACAGTCAAACACACACTAAGACAGACACACACACACACACACACACACAAAGACAGAGACACACACACACACATACACACAGACATACTCACACACATAAACCTGCCTGTCATGCATTATTCTTCTACATCATATCCTGTCAGCCAAACATCTCATTTCCGAATTGGTGGGTGCCCATCAAACAGATAGAGCAGCATCCGAGCAGCATCTCCTACTTCCTGCTCTGCTGCCGCTGAAATGTTGCTGCTGCTTCCGAAACGGAGGATGCTGCCCTGCTGCACCGGAGGCAGGCGGCTATAGCCCATGCTACCATCCCGTCCTTGATGACCACGCCGGTTCTCAGCACGTGTTCCCCACACAAGATGAAACGGGTTGATGCATGCACGCTCGTCACAGATGTGCATCGCATCATACTGTGTGTGCGGCAGCACATGTTGTTGTTGAGGTTGCTGCTGGGGTTGTTGCTGCTGCATAGACGGGACAGCAGACACTGGATGATGGTTGGGCAACAGGAGGGATGGAGGAGGTCCACGGAAGGCCCACAAAATGAGCCGGCATGCGTTTGTGGAGCTTGTGTACACATCAAGATCCGCACCCCCCTTACTGCAATAAGCGGCCTTGGTGTCTGCATTAC